GTTTGATCTATGAGTAAAAAACCTTGTATGCGTTTCGTCAATTGTTATTCGGTAGTATCAAAATGTCGGCCTGTCTGTAATAAAGACTGTCTGTAAGGGGGAGGAAGTGCTGTCTGTAATGGGAGCCTGTTTGTAATGGAAAGCCTGCCTGTAAGGGGGGGAGGGCTGTCTGTAAGGGGGGCCTGTCTGTAAGGGGGGCCTGTCTGTTAGGAAGGGGGAGGGGTGTCTACAAGGGGGACCTGTCTGTAAGGAGGGGGCTGTCTGTAAGGGGGAGGTGGGGGAGCCAAAACTTGACCTTAAAACTTACACTCACATTTTTAGATGTGAGTTCCACAAAATATTCTCAATTTCGATTCGATCTAGACTTGATTTACTTTGAATGGACTGGAAATATTCCCCGTCTCCTGCTTTCGTTTGAGGGTTACCGGGATCGCTATGAATATACCTTTCTTTTGGAGTATACCAGTCTACGAAAATCTTACTGCCTATTTCGTACAGGGAATCACGTCGACTTAGCTAACCTACAAGTATGGGCGCACTGGGATAACATAAATCTGGCTTCTTCACTTTCAACTTTGTTATTTTGTGTAGTTTGTGTTTTCTGCAGCAGTATCATATATCCAGGTAAATGGAGATGCTGAAGATGTAAAGCGAGATGCAGCACCTTCTGATGTTTTTTTTTCCATTTTCAGCCTAGAATCCAGCAGGGAGATCAGATACGTGAGGTCCACGGGTTTCGATCCGCAGGACCACTTAGCGATGGGCGAGCAGGTGAAGATTTTTTCACGACTACAGTACATTTCCCTAATTCTGTCGGAAAAATTTTACCACTTTTTGTTTTAACTACTACGAGACTATTTTACATCCGATCAAAGATATTTTTTCAAATCCGGATTCTCCAAATTCTCCTCTTTCAAATGATATATTGTTTGTCTTCTAGTTCTCATATTTTCATGGGAACATTATCAGTCTACGAAAAATGCTTGCACCTGACAGAATTAGGTAGTAGTTCCCTAATCCTGACGGTCAGCAAAAAAATTTGCCTAATTCTGCGCCTTCTAATAAAATACATAGAAAAACTTAACTTTAGAGAAAAAAAGCATTTTTTCATGTTTTTGATGAGAGATGAAGGGTAGGTGTCTAAGACAATCTTGTAGAGCGGCTCAAGCTGTATCATAATCTAGCGGTTCAAGACAACTGTATCTTCATTTATTAAGATGCAATCCTTGAAATGAAGATGCTCGACAGAAGTGAAAAAAAAAGTTGTCCCTAATTCTGCATTCCAGCTATTTTTTTCTCTAATTCAGACGGTCCAGCCAATTTTTGTCCCTAATTCTGACGGCAGTTATCTTGAAGTTTCAGTCATTTTTTGTCCTCAATTCTGACGGCAGCTATTTTTTGTCCCTAATTACGACGGTGGTTGTTTTTTGTCCTAAATTATAGCAATCAAATATTCTTGTTGCGATAATTCATTAAAAACTACTATACAAAAATATTCATTTGTTATAATTTAGGACAAAAAACAACCACCGTCGTAATTAGGGACAAAAAATAGCTGCCGTCAGAATTGAGGACAAAAAATGACTGAAACTTCAAGATAACTGCCGTCAGAATTAGGGACAAAAATTGGCTGGACCGTCTGAATTAGAGAAAAAAATAGCTGGAATGCAGAATTAGGGACAACTTTTTTTTTCACTTCTGTCGAGCATCTTCATTTCAAGGATTGCATCTTAATAAATGAAGATACAGTTGTCTTGAACCGCTAGATTATGATACAGCTTGAGCCGCTCTACAAGATTGTCTTAGACACCTACCCTTCATCTCTCATCAAAAACATGAAAAAATGCTTTTTTTCTCTAAAGTTAAGTTTTTCTATGTATTTTATTAGAAGGCGCAGAATTAGGCAAATTTTTTTGCTGACCGTCAGGATTAGGGAACTACTACCTAATTCTGTCAGGTGCAAGCATTTTTCGTAGACTGATAATGTTCCCATGAAAATATGAGAACTAGAAGACAAACAATATATCATTTGAAAGAGGAGAATTTGGAGAATCCGGATTTGAAAAAATATCTTTGATCGGATGTAAAATAGTCTCGTAGTAGTTAAAACAAAAAGTGGTAAAATTTTTCCGACAGAATTAGGGAAATGTACTGTACTCGCGACGGTTGAGGCACGGGCATCGTGCACCTTACCTACGGTTTGGGATGGATGACATTGTAAATAAAAAATGCGAGCTTGGGATGGGCAACGATAAGTGTTCACGGGCTCGAGCGGGTAGGGCATTTTTTCGGGGCGCAACTATCATTATATGGATTATGTCGTAAGAAAAATATTGAGTGACTCGTTGTGTTTTTATTCTATCAGCTGCACGCTCACTTAGTTCTTTGTTTCCTCCTTTCTTTATCATTTCTCATATAGAACTTCTATTATTAATTTGTATTAAAAAATGAAAAAGTATTCTGGCCCCCTGTCTCTTGTGCCCAGAGCTGTTAACCGAGTAGCTGAGCCGCGGACGCCGATTTTTCAGAAAAGTTCTTGGTCACCGCCACAAAAACAAGGTAGATGTTTGATTTCTGGAATTTCTCAACACTCACAATCGGTTTTTAAGGCAGCAGTGTCCAAATTCCGTGAATTTCGAACTCTTGAGGATCTCTGAACTCAAACATGAATAAAAATAAATAATCGAATAATACGCATAATGTAACAAAACCCATGTATGCAAGAACAAGTATCTGTAATTTACTCAAAAAAAACAAACTGAAAGAACCCAAGAAACTCAAAGATATCAAGAAACCCAAGGGATCCAACGAAGCCAAGGAACTCAAGGTACGCAAGGAGCCCCAGAAAATCAAGGAAACTAAGGAAACCAAGGGACTCAAGGATATCTCGAGGTTGAGGGCGGAGTAACACATGCAGAATTTTCTGTTCGACTTTTGTAGAACACGTGGTGCATTTTTAATACTAATCTTTGTCAACAACAGTTCGGTTCCCTGAGTTCCTTGATATCCTTGGGTTCCTCGATATACTTGAGATCCTTGAGGTGACTTAGTTTATTTGTTTCGTCATATACTGTGGTTTCTTAGCGCGCATAAGTCTTGATTAATTTTTAAATTCAGAGTTCCTCAAGAGTTCGGAATTCACGGAATTCGGACATATCTCTCGGCATCACATAAAGAGATATATAGACTTTTCATCCTGTTTTGTTGAAGGTCATGACCACGTCCGATACTGAAGTGATTACTTTCGAAGAAATCCGCAGGACTTATTACGATGGCACACTTGGCCGAGAGGTATCCTATTCTTTGATTTGGCTCGATTCAAATGTTAACCAACTGACTGATCTTCAGGCACGATTACATGAAATTATTCCCTCAATGAAAGTATGCGAAACGGCAGAACATTGTCAATCGATTATTGATAAAGATTCACAACGTTATGCTTCATTCATTCTGATCGTGGCAAGTTCAATATCACACAGCTTCATACCTGTTGTTCATGAAACGGTCAACGTTAGAAAGATTTTTATTTATTCGCCGAATAATGCTAACTACGATTTTGAAACGTTACAACGACATTTTAACAAAGTAAATTTTTCTTTTGATAAACTGTGGTACAGTCTAGAAAATGTCTCGAAATCTTCTCAAGAGAGAAAGCACTTAGTACTCTAAACACCTTTTGCAACCTTTTCCGGAGCGTTTCATTAAGCTCACAAACAGTTACTCATTAGAAAATCACTGAAATTTGAGGATAACTGCAGCAAAGCATAAGTATGTTTCAGGTAAAAATGGTTGTTTATAGTCCAGAAGAACTAGTTGAAGCAATTTCTAACGATTGGGAAGAATGTGAAAAACCGGATCCACTGATCTGTTATACAATTCTTAATAGTCCAGATAGAACAACATCTAATAGAAATTCAGCAAAGCTCTGGTTTAAGTTGCTGATCCAGTGTTTATCACATTGGTCCGAGAGTACGAGAGAGACAGATAAGAAAGAATTAGTTGATCTTATGAAGAAAGAATATCGGAACAATACTTACCAACTGAAAAAAATTGATGAGTTTGATCGTACTTACGCTGCAACAGATGCATTGATTTGGTATTCAAGAGATTTTTGCTTATATCGCATGTTGAACAGAGCTCTGCGTCGTGGTGATGCTGGTGCTCTCTTGTCATTTCGGATTTTTATCAAAGATCTTTACGTGCAACTGCAAGTACTTTTAGAAGATCAGAGACAAAGCAGAGATCGAATATTACGTGCCTATCGTGGGCAAGCTATGTTGATAATGGAATTAATGAATATAGAAGTTAATCAGCTTCTGGCTATCAATACATTTTTTTCTACTACACTTGATCGAGAGCAAGCATTAAGTTTCATAGCCGCCGGTGTTGAAGATGCCCACCGATCAAAGCCCGTCCTGTTTCAGATTGATGCAGATAGAAGTATAAAGTCTTCAATCTTTGCCGATATTTCCTCTGTTAGTGGTATACCAGATGAACAGGAGGTACTGTTTATGCCAGGCGCGATCTTTCGTGTGATATCCATAGCATTTGATTCAACGTTTGATGTAACTATTATTCGACTGGAACTCTGTGGTGATAACGATCTTGAAGTTTTCGATATTTTTAAATCATTTGAATTCACTATACTGAAAAGCAGATCTGAAGTTCGTTGTTTAGAATATGCTGAGCTTTTACATGCACTAGGAGAATACTGCGAGGCTGAAAAGGTTTTCCTACGGCACCTGAACGATTCGGTGACTAGTAGTTTCGAAACACTATTGGCTTATCAAGGTCTTTCGCGTGTGGCTGTTGCTATGGGAAAGTATGATATGGCTGCTCTATATGGTGAAAAAGTGTTGGATATTGTTCTCGCCACCGTTCCAGTAAATGATATTGATCTATCACACGCGTGTCGATTATTATCCATAGCGTATACTCATTTAGAAAAGTATGAGTTATCGATCGAATTTGGAGAATACGCTCTCAACATTGCAAAACTCATGGAAAATAATAATATGCGTCTTCACTTATTATACGGAGCATATGATGCATTAGGATTTGCATTGTTACAATCCGGCAAATTGGAATTTGCATCACACTATTATAGTATGGCATTAAAATTTGTGTTAATCATTTATCCTTCAAATCATCCCAATATTGGCATGCTGTATGAAAGTCTAGGAGGGCTTCATTTACGCATGCAAAATTATCAATTATCTATAGAATATTCAACTCGAAGTCTTGATATCTATAAACAGACATTGCCTATGACACATTCACGTCTTGGAGATGTCACTTACAATTTGGCATCAGCGTACTGTTTCCTGAATGATGCCGAAAATTTTCTCGCTTTTGCATCAAATGCCTATGAAATTTATCAGTATAATTTTCCGAAAACACATCCATCATTTTTACGAGCAAAAGAACTTCTACGTTTATATGCGGTATGTCGGATTACCTGATACACGACTATTGTTTGAATTTTGCACGAAGAGTATCGGACAAAATGCTTATAGCATTTTAACGACGATAGCTAGAGATCTCGAGTCTTCATTATCCGAAACTACCGTGGAGCGTTATCCATTCCTTCTTTCTAATGATGAAGAGTCCAAATCTCTAGCTATCTTTGTTATAAAGTTATAAGCATTTTACCAGATGCTCGTCTTTTAAAATTCCGATAATAGCAAGTTTAGTTTACCTTGGATGAAATAAGTCTTTGTATTCTTACAGGATTGCGTATGTAAGAAAAATGGAATAAACAGTAAAAAAAGGCCCATGTTCTTCCTTGGAGGAAATCTTCCGTCGCGTCGATGATTTGGTGTATAGCGGTAGTGCTGATTCTTCAATATGCATTGTGCAGAAAAGCAACGGCAATACTTACTATATTCAATTTTAAAGGAAAGATTTCGATACGTACGCGAAGCAAATATTTAAACTTTCTTAACATTTGCACGAAAGTTGTCGGAAAATCTACAGGAATTTGTTTAACTTATTCTTTGTACTCACGCTTTTCTAAATTTAATTTTCGGCGTTTGTTTAAATTACGGTGAGGGTGTGGGTGTGTGGGTGTGTGGGTGTGGGTGGGGTGTGGGTGTGGGTGGGGTGTGGGTGTTGGTGGGGTGTGGGTGTGGGTGTGTGGGTATGGGTGTGGGTGTGGGTGTGCGGGTATGGGTGTGAATGGGTGTGGATGTGGGTGTGAATGGGTGTGGGTGGGGTGTGCGTGTATGGGTGTGGGTGTGGGTGTGGATGTGAATGGGTGTGGGTGTGGGTGTGCATGGGTGTGGGGTGTGGGTCTACTATTCATCTACACTAACGCTCATACCCACACACACATCCACACACACCCACACCCCACACCCCACACCCACCCACCCACACCCTCACACCCACACCCACACCCACACCCCACACCCACCCACACAGCCACACACACCCACACCCGCACCCCACACCCACACCCGCACCCCACACCCACCCACACCCACACCCTTGCCAATTGTTCATCAGATCGTGCATCTCCACGTCCACCAGAGTGTTGGATTTGGGTAATCAAATCGACGAGAAAATTGAGTGCAGGTGCTGGTGGACGGGCTAAAACAAAGAGAAACGTTCATGTAATCAGAAAAAAGAACACCAAACGAAAAGAGTTCGCCTCCAATTGATCATAGTTTTTTTTAAGACGAGCATAATCTTTTGACCAAGTATCAGATGTTTTTTGTGGAACTCACGTATGTTTTCGAAGAAAATAGTGAGTGTAAGTTTTAAGTTCGAGGTTTGGCGGCTCCCCACCCCCTCCCTTACAGACACTTAGCAACGGAGAAAGAGAACATTACAGACATAGCCCCCCCCCCCTCCCTCCCCCCATTACAGACCATAGCAACGAGGCCCCAATTACAGACACCCCTTCATTACAGACACCTCCTCATTACAGGCACCCCCTTATTATAGACACCCCCTCATTACAGACACCCCTCAATTACAGACAATCTACCATTACAGACTTTACCAATGCAGAAGAACAGATGTCAGACTTTCAAGAGTTTTTTTGTTTTGAAAAATCGGTAAAGTTATAATTTTGAAGATTAATGAACATCATTGTTTGTGAGTTGATTAATATATATAATAGTACATAAAATCTGCCATAGATATCATGGATATGTAAAATAGACTTATTTGCCGATTCAATGATTATAATAATAAGAATATTAAATTAAAAAAAACGTGAATTAAAAAAAATGAAAAATAATGAGCGA